ACCGAAGTTTGATGGAAAAAGAGTTAATTTTTTAAACAAGGTATGAATGAGAAGGTTGCCGCTACATATAAATTGCAAATTGGGCTTAGAAATTAAGCGAATAAATTGCATTTCACTTATCAGTTTCTTGCCGTAAGTACTAGTTACTGGAAGCAGGTCAAAATCGAGGCAGTGATATTTCGAGTTGTTGTCGGAACGGCTGTAATATAAGAGTTTTGGGCAGTAGACAAGCTAGTTTGAAGGTCTTGGCAACAATTCAAATCAGAAATTCCATACTACATGCTTAGTCAAAGCAAGTTCCGCGGTCGCATAAGAAAATACAAAGCAAGTTTTCAAGTAAGTGAATACTGAAATTTATAACAAGTTCGAACTATTCTGGCGTTCGCCGAAGAAGTTCCAACAAAATAGAGGAACTCATGTGTCGAGTCGGCAGTCGTGCGTGGGTGGCCTGATAACAAGAAGGATGAGATACTCGTCACGTTTCGAAGGCCTGAACACTATTCAATGACTAGTGCTAAAGTCGTAAACTGGTACGATGAAGCTTAAATGTTCCTAGTTAGCCCAGAGGACGGATACAAGACAGTCAATGTTCATCACCAGTAAAAGGATAAAGTAACAAAATCCTCAGACATATTCTCCATTAGAAAATCATGTCCGGCGAAAGTGCAGAGGTCTGCGTACAAGGAGGAGCCCCTTAAAGCATGCGATGTCTGCATGGTAGTAAATTCAATTTCCTGATAAAAAAACGCAGTCATACGGTCGCTGAGGTTTGCATGTACAGCCAGTCATCAGACACACGGAATTTGTCCTTGTTGGCAAGAAATTGGTTTGACGATGTGTTCCGCTTTGTAACAGCTAGTTATGTAACGAATTTACAAGTCGCACACCTGGAACATTCGTCAGATGACTCTAGTAAAGCGGCAAAGTCTTTTAAATATCACATTTGTGAAAACTAATAAAAACAAACGGTCAACTAATCTTATGGAGAATGCAATGGAAAAATAGCCTACTTTAGTGAAGGGCAGTTCAGATATGCGCAGGCTTAAACATCAGTCATTTTTTGATTTTTAATATCTAACACATTGGCTCGCGGACTTCAAACGCTAAATGCGCAAGTAATTTTAATGAGTGGCATACTATATTAAAGATATCCTGATTAAAAATTACGATAAATCGAACGGATAGTGATAATTGGAGAAACAAGAAGGCGTTAATTTGCATAAAGCACATGACGGTTCGGTGAAAAACGAGTTAAAATGCTCTCAAACCACTCCAATGAATTACTCATGAAATAACCGAAAGGTTTTGTTCGGAACACACGGTTTCTAAGATAATACCTTTTAAGCGTAAAACTAACCCACACTGAAAAATCATTACGCTCCGATAACTTTGGTGAACAGACGTTGTCTAAGAAACATCCATTTTCGGTTCAGAAATCTTTCAGATATTTCAAAATTTGACCAAAATTCCTTGATTTCGTAATCAGTAAATTGTGAGACAGAAACAACGCAAAAACACGAAGCAGAAGTAAGTCACTAAGTTGATCAGTTAAAAATTCTCCCGATCATAATGTCATCACTGATAATGCATTGAAAAGTAGAGTCCATTTTTACATCTGTTAGGACGCAATACAAAAAACATTGCTTTGACCTGGCGAGCAAGCAGCTTTGAAGTAGTTTTTGCACAACGAATTCGACATGTGAAGGGCCAACATGCTTATATCGTGCAGATGATTGCTAATTACGGACTGAGCAATTTTCAATACGTTCGTAAATCATCTGTCTTCGGACTACAAAATATGTGATTGCTATACCTTTTAGGATTGCACAAGCCTATTGCAAACTCTTTTTAAGCAAACATTTAAAATTCATGAATGGCAGTTCATTGGCAATAGTGAGAAACACACCCTGTAAAATTAAATATAGTAGCAGTTAAAGATAGGAGCAGTTAAATACAAATTATACTATATGTTGAAGGAAACGCTCACAGACATAAGAGAATACTATTTACCGCATGTAGTTATTTGAAGCATCTAACTCACAGCACTAATACATACCCAATATGAACAGCAGCAATTCGTTGATGCCAAATCCACAATGGACCAAAAACAGTCAAGACACGACTATTATGCAAAGTTGAAGGGCCTAATAATGCAGCTCAACTTGCAATTAGCAGTCCTTTGAAGCCAATTCAATTAAAAGACATATGATTTATGGTTAACAAAACCATATTAATAAATGCGCACGTATTTCTGATTGCCACTACGTTAAAAAAACGGGAGCCATTAATGAAAACCTCTTGGTAGTCGATATTCTACTAAACCAAAACAGCGTCTTGAGTAGTTAATTGGATGGAAAATGATTTTCTACCGAGCTACACCCAAACACACGAACGGGAACCCTGAATTGCAACAGCAACCAAAAAACGTGATAAACCGGACATTGTTCTGATAATCCTTAATCCCTTGATCTGGCAAATTATTTATTTGTTATTACGTCTTTACCTTTGACTCATTGTGTTCTAAAGTAATTCTTTCAAGCCACTGAATGATACCGGTTAAAATGTGTGCTTGCTTTTTTGTATTGATTTTCCAAAAATTGAGCCGGCTGCGCATTTTTTTGGCTGCCACCCACAGCAATGAAAGGCGGTTCATAAGTCCTAACGAAATATTTTAATATCATACTGTTTATGACTCAGTTGAAATGTTTAGTTAGTACCAAAGTTGTTCATAGTTCTAGTAAATATTCTCGTTGCAGGTAAAAGGCACTAACCAATCATTAGTAATAAACTATGACATACTAGAAGCAGCTGGCCAAAGCAACTCCGGAAAAAACTCGTTGCCGCATAATGCTTATAGGATTGGCATGTGTCATTTACCATGTAAAAGTACCCTATCTGTTTTAAATGGTAACTTAATCTCAAGCACAGGTAAAACGAAAAATGAATAAATCTTCCTATCGGCTGGCTAGATGCCATCTGAATTTTCTTTAGATACGTTATATTCTCATTCTTGATTTTTATATAACTTGCGGCCCGACTAACGTTACCGAAAACGGCTGTTTTAATTGTCATCCTGTTGTTGGACAACTGCTTATTTTAAGAACGGGAATTCGAAAGGAATCAATACAGATAAAGAGTAGCAAATGCCAGTGATGTATGTGAAAAGCTACAGATTCCACAGTAATAAAATTTAAACGTGAAAAAGGAAAGCTTCAGTCCAAACTGCTTTTGGTCATTTTACCATGTTTCTTATTTTCATGATCTGAAACGAAGGCTTTCAGGGCAGTTAAGTGAAGAATATAAATAGTTTACCACAAATATTGAAGGGAGCAAACACATTTTTGCGGAAGAACGACGTACAACCGGAATAAAACGTACCACTAGGATTTAAAGATGATGACGAAAATTCATCCTCAGTTTTGCAGTAAATGGAATGGAAAGCGTCATTCTGTTTGGACATCTGAATTAAATTGTCTTGTTCATTGACTTCGGAACTGGAGGACGAGAGAGCGAATGTAGACATCTCAGGTTGAAACGATGTACAGGTCAATGAAGACTGAGTATGATCTTGGTTTGCGTAGGAAAGGAAGTCAACACAATTGGAAGAGTCTGGAGGTTTCGTATTATAACTGTCACTCTCCAACTGGTTGGCGGCCAAATGCATTACATCCTCCATCTTGAATGTTCTAACCTGTTCAGATTTTTCCAGAAAATCACCTGCGTGCCAACCTGTGATGCTCAATCCTTGCACATCATTCGTTTGCTGCTGTAAATTTTGACCTTTTGGAGTGGTTGTCCACAATCTATCGGAAACAGCGTTTGCTTCCTGGACTGCTTTGAGTTTTTCATATAAAGAGACGGGAGGCAATTCAACTGAATTCCAAGGAAGGGATAAATCAAAGGATCCCTGAGATTCCGCCTCGCGGCCATCCACTGCTGGCAAATGCGAACTTTTGTTTGACCATGCCACCAAACCTTCGTTTGTTTCAGTTTTCTGTAGAGGGAAAAAGACCCACGCGTATTAATGGCGGAGTTACATTGAATATAAAACTTTTTACGTCCTGCAGTCGGTATTTCAGGTAAATAAAAAATAAAATCTTCGAAACTACTTAAGTGGGACTGTCACCTTATTACCGACATGCAATTTTCTTTAATCTCTAAACTGGGATCCAAAAGATTCCACATACGAGCAACATAATTTATAGGCAGCACACTTATTTGCGCACATCAAATATTCCAGTTTCAAGATAACAGCGAAGTTTTTTGATGATAAGCATGGATAGGACAGAACTTAAACGAACTCAGTAAGTTTGTGACCGTTCATTGTTTAGTAGTAAATAAAAGTGCTTTCACAATTAAATTCTTATCTTCAGCTTAAGTAATTTTACCTTTTCTATTGGTGTTACGAGAATGCAAAGGACTCACACTTTCCTGTGCTTGTTATTAAAATTAAACAGACAAAATTTTGTCTTAAATAAATATTGGCAAGTAGAATATACACGAAGTACACTTAGACTTACGAAGTCAGATTTGTTGATTGCTCCAGAATTTTCGGTAACAGGGGTAGTGGTTGCAGTGTCAGAGGTATCCCTGACGCGATTAATATCGGTCTGTGCTAAGCTGTCCAAAGAAACGTAAGAACTAGCTGAATCTGGCAGTTCATTTGGGGTGAAAGGATGACTTAAAGTTTGTATAGAGTTGAACGGATGTACATTAGGGTTTTGTGAACTTGACAGAGTGTGAGTCTGATGCAGAGGAGCGGTGGTAAATTGGTCCCACTGCGCGCCTAGGGTAGTATAACCGTGTAACGAAGAAAAACTCGACAGGTAGGAAGCGGAGTCCTGGAGATTCCTTAAATTTTCATTTGGTAAATATTGTACGGGAGATTCGCCGGCTTGCATTCCAAGATTTTTTGAGTTGGCCTCGGACTGAGCACCGGAACGCAACGAGAATTTTGATGTTCCATTCAGTTGCATGTTGTCGTAGAATTGAGCCGATTCCTTTTGACAATAAAATGAATTTGTCTTCGATCTTTCCAGAGTGTTAGCTGTTCCCATGTTTGCGTAGTTATTTTCGTTGTCTGTAGTATCAAACAAAATTCCTTTGAGTGGGGAAGAATTTTCAACAGAAACTGGCATTGCGGAATTGAACTGTAGGCAGAAAAATTGTATATCCTGCAAAAAGAATATTGGAAGTAAGTGTGTGACGCCTGGAATTTACTCCAAGATCCTTCTTTGCATACTAGTTACAAACGAAATAATAATGGGTGATTCAATATCAAGCCCCAAATTTTCTCCTTTGAAGGCAGATAGGTCTGAATTTTCTAATAGAAATGCGTTTGAATGTTTTTTTGTGTGTTAGCGTATCTTATTTGCTCCGCCGATCCTGCAGCAACCAGCTAACGCGCACAAAAGGCGTTTTCATAAAAGTTCCAGTTACAGCCGAGCATTAAAACAAAGTCTGATTTGTAATATGTTTGATGAAGTAATGCAGAAGAGTTCTTATTTAGAATCTAACATTGGAAAACCATTAGAAACGAATACATGGAAGCTAAAATTATATATCCTTTTTCTTTTTAACGTTGGTTAATGTAGTGTACCTTATATTCCATGGCGTAATTGAGAGCGCTCAATAGACAGAGGATTATAGCGACGGTCAATTTTAAACTAATGCTGAAATAAATCGAAAAAGTTTACAGTTTTCTTAGATGGCTCGAAATTATTACGGATACACGGTTGGCATGTATTTATAGAGGCGATGTAGCACAAGTGCTTTGCGATGAAGGTAAATGAGGAATTATTGGCGTCTCATGGCCCCTTCCCATTTCGATTTGTGAAGCTTCTGTAATCAACGCTTCTCTTTAACCTGTATTTTCAGCTCAAATGACTATTTGTTCAG